GCCCCCACGGCTGAAAGGGCGAGCATGTTTGGTGGGACGGGGATGCGAACTCACGACCCGCAGATTGCGAGTCGATCGTCCTAACCACCTGGCCATGCCGGGCCCTATAATGAGGGGTTAGATTCCTTTCGGTGGAAACAGCAGATAGCTCGATATTGCTTTGCTATAAAACACACACACAAATAAACAAAAAACGGGTTACAAGGAAATATGATTTTCTTTGAGCTGTTATACACATTTCACCAGATGTGATAGCAGGAAATTCGCATAACAGTGTAGGAAATACATTGTATTTAATGGACGCTATGCTAAGAAGTGATGTTTGACTGTCTACATCCTTAATACCATAAGTGTACATTTGTTGTTTGTAATCTGATATGGCAGAAAACAATACCTCTATAAATGAGTACGCACGTACGCAAGGGGGGTGGGTGGCCCGAACCCCCTATTTTTGTGATATGAAAAAATATGCTTATATAGTTATTGCGCAGCCGCTTATGGTAGTTATCATTTTCTATATAGTTCATATTCTTATAATGAAGCATTAGCACTTATTGGCTTGAAATTGTCGCATGTAATGGCTTCTGTTGACACTTTGTAATAGACAAAGCCGTATTGCTACTGTCAGGTTTTGTAAGCCAGATTCTTTACAGTAGGTGTCTGTGACTTGTTGGCGATAAATTTCAAAAATAAATGCTTTGCATGCTGATTGCGCTTTGCACAAAATGTGTTGGCTCTTGATCTCACAAATTTGAACCCCATTTCAAACATTTTGCGTACGAGCTTAATGAGGTTTATAAAATATCATTTATATTCCGCTAACTACTGTCAGATTTAAACAAACAAAATTTATGAAACTCTAAGGCTATAAACTATAGATTTCTTTTGTTCGTTTTGGATTTCGCGCAAAGCTACACGAAGTCCTAAGTTAGTAGTGATAGACTAGAGGGAAGGTAGCTAGTCAACACCATCCAACGCCAACGCTTGGGCTACTCTTTTATCAATGAATAGTGAAGTGGGATTTACCATCATATTATAACGCCCTCAAGGCTGAAAGGGCGAGCATGTTCGGTGACTGGGATTCGAACCCGCGACCCTTAGACTGCGAGTCCAGCGCCTTAACAAACAAGTCATGCCAAGCCATAAACTAGAGAACATCTGAGATTTTAAATTGTAGACAATACGGCTAAACATCCGAAGAAATATTTTTTGTCCAACATCTCACTGTAATAGCTTTATAAAGTACATGACAAAGAAATTTAGAATTTGGTAAGGTTTTAATTTGCTTATTTCAAAAATAGTTTATAATTAATTTTACGTATTCCTTTCGCCGAAAATATTGTTAATCAAATTTTACGAACAGTACAATACGTTCAAAATGTTAGAAGGGGATATGAACAGCTAGTGATTGATTATGTACGAAATGTCACTCCAACAGATATATGACTGCTTGCATGAATACAAGAACATATGGAGTTTTGAATTACAAAAATCTCCCATCTATATATTACATTTCTAAGAACTACTCGTCTAAGCAAATGAATGAATCTTATATAGTAGGACCAGTTTTAAAAATCTGATAATACTTTGTTTCTTTTTCTTTTTTCGTTGCTTTCTTTTATCGCTCATCTAGTCGATGACGAAAAGAATAAAAGCTTGTGGAAGACTGTGGACCGTGGGAATAAGCAATGTGGATTTTATTAAGCCTAACGGTTGCTGATTGTGACGATGTTTGCCTAACTATTAAGTTGTTTATGAAAAAAAAGAAGAAAGGGGTTTATGTCAGACGAGAAGAAAACTACGGTGGAAGGAACAAAAAAAAATCTATGGACAGGGAGTTGTTGTCATATGTAAATATTATTTTTTTTTACAGTACTAATAAACTGACATGATTACCATCAAGAACACTATTAAATATCACCCACGCAGATGCTATTAAAATGTAAACCCAATATACATCGTAGTGCTTATGTTACGAAACATTTAATAACCAATTTAAATTATACACGAAAAAGCAAAAACACAAGACACGTATCAACTTGGAAGTGCAAAATATATTAGCTAAACAAAGTTCTTGATAACATAGTACAATTAACAGTTTATCTATCAGTCTGTATCAGTTATATTCATATTCGATCTGTATCCATGTTTCAGGGTAAGGTATCAGCTGTGTAAATATATATATATATTGAACATATTATACATAACGCACGTATATTATTGAGTATTAAGTTAAACAAAAAATGAGGTGTTTCAAACACGGTGATGTTTCATACACTACCCTAACATGAAGTATGCGAGTGTGTAAACTACAAAACAAATGTTAACAGTTTATTTGACATGAAGTACACGAGTGTTTAAACTAGAAAAAAAATGTTAATAGTTTATTTGGCACGAAGTACGTGATTGTGTAAACTAAAACAAATGTTAATAGTTTATTTCACATGAAGTATGTGAGTGTGTAAACTAAAAAATGTTAGCAGTTTATTTGATATGAAGTATGCGTGTGTGTAAGCTAGAAAAACAATGTTAAAAGTTTACTTGACATGAAGTACACGAGTGTGTAAACTAGAAAAAAAATGTTAACAGTTTATTTGACATGAAGTACACGAGTGTGTAAACTAGAAAAAAAATTTTAATAGTTTATTTGACATGAAGTACACAAGTGTTTAAACTAGAAAAAAAATGTTAATAGTTTATTTGAAATGAAGTACACAAGTGTTTAAACTAGAAAAAATTTTTAATAGTTTATTTGACATGAAGTACGTGATTGTGTAAACTAAAACAAATGTTAATAGTTTATTTGATATGAAGTATACGTGTGTGTAAGCTAGAAAAACAATGTTAAAAGTTTACTTGACACGAAGTACACGAGTGTGTAAACTAGAAAAAATGTGAAAGTTTATTTGACATGAAGTACATGAGTGTGTAAACTAGAAAAAAATGTGAAAGTTTACTTGACATGAAGTACACGAGTGTGTAAACTAGAAAAAAATGTGAAAGTTTACTTGACATGAAGTACGCTAGTGTTTAAGCTAGAATTTTTTTAACAATTTAGTTGACATGAAGTATGCGAATGTGTAAACAAAAATTTTTTAGCAGTTTATGTGATATGAAGTACGCGGTGTGTAAAATAGAAAAATAAATGTCAAGTTTATTTGAAAGAGCGAGAAGAAAGAAATATATACAATAATAAGTACATATAGTATTAACTTCACTGAATAACCTTATATTTAACATTATATGTAAATATGTTTTTGAACTCAGTATGAAAAAGTTAATGACAAATAAATTCAGTCAAACATCATAATATACAACTGCACAGAAACCAAAACAGCAGGTCACTGCACATCGGATATAAAAATATTTTCCTACTTGTCGTGTCATCAAGCTTTGTTTTAATGGAATAATAAAACAAACCCCCAAAAAAGACAAAACATCGATTTTAATCTATTATGATTATTAGAATTTCCTGTGTTCCAAAAACACACGTGTATAAACATATCACGTAAAAGTCGATAAACTATATCCAATGTGAAAATTGTTCTGGTGTTATAATAATACAATTGATTTACTAAGTAATTATGTTTAATTATATATCATAACCTCTAGTTCAGAAATATTGCTTCGAGCTGGTTAAGAAATAGTTTTAAGAATGATAACTGAACGAAACTGTACGATGTTGTTGAATAAATATATATATATATATATTATTATTATACATTTCTTTTACTAAATATTATAAACGAAAAACAGAAAAATAATTTAACAGATTTTACAAAGTGTGATTTAACGTATTTTATATTTACTGCATAGCTTATATAACTAAAGCTAACTTTTAACATATAAAATTTTCTAAACTCCAGCTTCATTACCACAGCATCGTTCAGAGGGCGCTCTAGTACATCAAAGCATTTTTTTTTTCTAAGTGGTCGTATTGCATGGATACATGGTCTATATGCATAATTTGACTTCTGAAAATTATTCGGTGTCTTCTTTTGTTACTACAAAACGTTACTACAAAACAAACGTTACTACAATTCCTTCCCTTCAGCACTGGTTTGTTTTGTGTCACTGACACCCAAGCTGCAACTAGTGACATACTTAACGATAGGACGTTTCTTCACAACATCTTTCGCAGTTTACAAGTTTCACTTCATCTATACTAAACTCTATGTAGTTAGATTACGTTTTCTATTTACTGGTGGACAACTGCACGTACTTCATGTGAGAATGAATATAAATTGCTCGTCTATGAAAAGCAGTCGCTCCTCAGCTGAGTACCAAAACTAGGCAACCAGAAATTATCAGATCTTGCTACACGCCTCAACCTATTATCAAATTAAAATTTACGCAACATCTTTGAAAGGATGAAAATTAACAATTTAATACAGTTACTAGAGCAAACAAATACGCACGCACGCAAAAACACACACATAATTTATCCCTCGTGATGTAAACAAGACACTAATAAGTGCCCTTTTGTTTACGTCTAAGACTATACTTTATAATTTGTGAAATCCTGACGCATTATGACGTTACAGTGATATCTGAAATAACGTCACAACACATCTCAAGTTTTTCTGAAGTGTTAAGCATCCACTACTAGACCAGTTAGCTGTTACTTCACTGGTAGTTATGGAAACAGTGTAGCTGAAACAAGTTCATGTAGCCATAACTTCTGCCCTGAGAACCATGTGTACACAATCTGCTACGTTAACATACCACTTATATTTTGTGTCGAATTAAATCATATAAAAAAAGAAAAAACGTAGGGGAAAAAAACAAAGCAAAAATAATACAAATTTTACTAATTACGGTGAAAATTTTTAATAGATGGAACTAAAAATCTTATACAAAAAATTACCAGTATCAAACAGACAAGTAAAAAAAAAGTCCCACAAAAAAAGCATGAGCGAAGGAGAGTGTTCTTAATATTTGTTCTCAAGTGGCAAACAGCTATTATGTGCTTGAGTTGCTTAAATGTTCACACAGAACATTCTCCACCCATATCCGGACTATTTGTTTTATTATGCTTCTTACCATAGATAATTTTGGTATGTTATACCAAGCATAATTACACACGAAATATATCTGTCCTTAAGGCAAAAAAATACTAAAATATGGTGATTATAAAAGTAGTTTAGTTGAATCAAATTATAATTCAAATCTAAAACGTAATATCATCATATACTTATACCTGATACAATTAAATTTCAATGCACATAACGACCCACGAACATTCACCCATTCTTGTCATACTTTTTTGTTATAATTTTTAAATCGACAAGATAATTCTGTGTGTTTTAAAAACAAAGAAAAGTTGGCAATGCAAGAGAACCAAAAATAAAACAACAGCAAACAACAAACAAACGAGTATCATATACTGAAGATGAAGGTAAACACGTCAACGAATTGATGTTGTTGTTGTTTGTAAGGTAGCACAAAGCTAAACAAAGGGCTATCTGTGCTCTACCTACCACGGGTATCGAAACTCGGTTTCTAGCAGTATAAGTCCGCAGGCATACAGCTATGCCACCAGGGGGCTCAACAAATTGAAACATCGTTCCTTTTATCGTTTCACTGGTAAACTGCACGGTCAGAATTTTTGTCAACAAGCCACTCACTACTTTATCGGGTTGCTATATATATATACACAGCGTGGTCACAAGTAAATAGACACCACCTTTTCTGG